AACGTTCCGAACAGCTCTCGGCATGGGCATATGGAATTGGTTATTGCCATTCACTTGCGGTCAGCAGCTTCAGCACACAGTCACATCGGCATCTTCAACTCCCGCCTAGTTTGTTGTTTGACTGCAAAATCATAATCATGTCAGCAAATTGGACTGACATGGAGCGTACGTGCGTCAACTTGCCGATGAGTAGGATCTGCAGTGCCGTCGAGCAATAGACAACAGGCAACAGGCAAAAGGCGGGATTGAAGATCAGCCGCTCGTCCATCACACAAAAATGGTCAGTGTTTGGGCCGTTGTTGTTTTTGCTTTGGCCGCTGTTGTTGTCGTTGTCGTTGTCGTTGTTGCTGGTGCATAGAGAAAGCTTCAGAATGCATTTAAGTTTTGTCTTTGGCGATAGGTGAATGTCTTCGAGGCGACTCAAAAGCGCACTGTCATCTTCCAGTTCGACAACGGATGCTAAAACCGTTGCCATTTCGTGCGACACAACTGCGACACCAACGAACTGCGTACGGACAAACAAATGTTCTCGGCCTCGGAAAACTGTTGTCATCTAAACACATTTGCCAAATGCGCAGAATTCTAAGACAATTAACTTTTGCCTATGGCCGCCGCACACGCAGCTCACAGAATGACAAAATATTTTAGCAGCAAATTTACTTCTCATTTCAGAGCTGCGAGCAAGCGAAGCAACTCGACTGAGTTCGGCTGGGCAGTGATTTAGGTTATCTGCGCTGGGCTTGGGTCAGGCAACGGTTGCGAAAGAATTGCCGACATTTAGCTGGGAGATAGAGCTGTGTAACTTATCAGCGAGAGTTTCATTTAATGAATACCGTTATTTATCGCAGCCAGCAGCTAGTTTGGGTAGGCCTTTGTTGCTTTTGTTTAGGTGTCATCGCTGTCGCAATCTCATAAAGCTGCCCGAAAATTGAATAGCGGGCAATAAAAATATTGCAATTGCACTCGCGGAGCAACATGCGCCGTCGTGGTGCAGAAGAAGGAAAAACAACACCATTTGTGTGCATTTTATCAGCCTGCGGTTGCCATTGAAACCTGAACTCAGCTCGCCAAGTTATTATTTAGCATTTTCACAATAACCTTTGGCAAAAACATTTGCATCTTATAGTCGTATCTGAGTTTTTTTTTGGCAAGTTTCCCGATGAAATTCGATATGGCAATCGTATCGTATTGCTTTGCCATTTTAGATGTGATATCAGTTACATTATTGTTTTATTATTTTGTTTTTATTATTTTTTTTTTTTTTAAATATTTTATTTACCAAATTAAAAATTGTAAACTAACAACTTTTACATGAGTTGTCATAGGAATGCCGTGCAAGTTCGTTGCCTAAGTCTTTTGAATTGCACGTGAAATTCATGGCTTAACTCATTTCAATTTGCCTTGCGAAATTTGCAATGCGAATGTAAGCTGGGTCAGCGCATACCCATTGCCCCACAATACGTTAGACGCTCTGGAAATAATAAGATATGTACAGCTGATATATGGCTGGCAGTTTGGGCTGACAAAATGAGCAGCGGGGCCATAAATATGCCACAGACAGGAGTCGCAGCAGCAGCCGCACCAAAGTGATTTTCTCGCACTCAATTTCAATGGCGCGGCCGCCAACTTGATAAATTAACACTGTGCACATGCCATTTGTTTATTTGGCTAAATAAATCGCCATCGGATTCGAATTCAAATGCCTACAAAAGCGCCCCAAAAGCTACCGCGCCACCAATTGAAAATTGAAAATTGAAAATCGCGCACAATCAAATGGACATTCTGTGCGACCCGCAATTTATGTGCCTGGAATTTGTGACTACAACAGCGACTAAGACGCTGAGACGGCGACTGCAACTGCGACTGCGACTGCGACACCCATGGCTGAGATTTAAGCCGGACTCACTTTATTGGCCCACTAAAGCGACTGACCCACAACATTAAATTGTAATTTGAGTGGGCAAACATTTTAACTGAATTTCTATTTGCTTCGGGCACAGCAGCCGGCAGCTAGTTCCCCCTGTATGCAAGCGAGCCCCAAGCAGCCACTGAGAGCGAGCCAGAGCAACGTGGATAATTAGAATTTCTTCTGCATCTGTAACTGCGACTTTTGACGCCCCAGTGCAGTATGTGATCGTATAGATTTACCGCTATTAGCAGCTTTGGTCTTGTCTACATGAAATATGAACTGCTCTTGGGGTTGCGACTGTAGTTGTGGCTGTGATTGTGGTTGTGGTTGTGGTTGTGGTTGTGGTTGTCGTTGCGGTTGCAAGTGTGACCGTGCCATTGACCATTGCAATGCATGCAAATCGATATGCGAGCAAACAATTGCATAATCGCTGATTATGAGCTCACACAGTAGAGAACTGACTCGGTTTGTGGATTGTACAGCATTGGCCATTAAAATGGCGCACAGCTGCTCGGACAGAGCTAGAATGTTGTCCATTTCAATTCGATTAGCGCGGAAATCAATCTGGTCGTCAGCGCATGTGGAAAACTCACTGGCAGCTGCTCTGTGATTTAACGCATATTACACGTAGTGCATTTTCCATGCTGTTTTCGAAGCTGCGCCGTTAAGAACCGCAAAGCCACTAACAACAACTCAACTGCAGAATGCTGCAGCAAATGAATGCAGAGCCAATCACATAATCTACTTCTGGCGAATGGGCTGATAATTTGGGGCTTGGCTTTTGTGCGTGCGCTTGCAAAGTAGCGTTATTTGATTTCTTATCAGCAGTGCGCGACCAATTAGACGGGTGCCGTGCTGGCACTCTGATTGGATGTGGAAGGAACGCGGCTGCGTGAGAAATGATTTGCAAATGTTCAATATAAAGTACTTCCGTCAGATCGGGGCAAGCCAATTGACAGCATGGTGCTTGGGCTGATGCAACTTCAATGGCAGAGGCGACATGCCGCGCCGTGTAATTCATAAAAATTATGAAAAAATACCCACCCAGATTGGTCCCCAAGGGTCGTCGGCAGTGTCGAACGGCAGCCGCAGAGCGATGACATTGCCGCGGACATTGTCAAGCCAAGCACTTTATTTGCTGCGCGTTTGACATAAACATTTGCCCAGCGGACATCTGAATGGCCTCGGCCTCTCTGTGGCTCCATATAAGCGCCGCACGACACGCCAAGGAACAGAGTCGCACAACAAGATGCCGCCGCCGGCTTGTCCCCGTCATCGAGCGTTAGCAATTTTTGAAATACGCATTGCAGAATTTATGTTATGCGTGCCACAGTCGGAGGCCGTTTCTATGGTCGTGCCAATGTCAAAACTCAAACTCCGAACCCAAAGAAAAACAAAAACTGCGCGACTCTGGCGCTGAAAGTGTCCAGTGACTTTCGCTGGGGCTCCTTGCAGTTAGCTGCGCATGGGGCTTGGCGGTGGGTTGGTGGATTGTTGGATTGCTGGATTGGTGGGTTGACTGGAGAGCACGCTCCTCTGGAGGCCAGCTACGAGGCTTTGTCTAAATTTGGACGGTCATGTCGGTGACAGCTTTTGACTGGCCAGCGCTTCAACTTGTTGCAAGTGGCGCGGAGTTCAAAGCATCAGATTAGAGATAATGTTAAACATTTCCTTTCAAATTTGTGACTGAAGCCTGATGTCGCTAAAACTCAAATGCAAGCTACAAATAATTATGAAATAAAAAAATTAATTTCCATTTTCATAAAGCTCATACATCGAGCAAAAGTAAAAGTCTATGAAGAGAAAGAGTCATGGAAAGTGCTGAGACGATGAGAAGGATGTGAGATGAATATGAAAAGAGTTTCAGAACACGTTCGATCTTCTAAGAATGCCAGAAATAGCTGTAAAATCTCTGTGGATTTTAAGCAAATCTATAATTAAAGTCTGTCCACAAATGTAGAAATTTAATAGCCCTATTATGCTATAAGCTATTACTGTGCCGCATTCCTGAAGATCAAAGAACTACAAATTTTAGCTCAACTTAAGCGGAATGTGTTTGCAAGTAGGTGAAATCAAGAAAATAAAGTTATTTATCGGCAATTTGTTAGCCCCTATTCTTTTATTTGCTGGCTCAATTAATTTGTCACTTTTACTTCTTGTTGCTGGGCTTAGCGAAGACTTGGCTCAGTTTCACTAGTTAAGTTTCCACCTGGTAAGTGTTGCGCCCTGTCTTGGCCTAAACGTGGCTCTGATTGATTTGTATCAACGTTGATTAGGCCAAAACCAACAATCAGAGCGGCCTGGCGTGAAAGCCCACTTGAGGTTGGCCTTGTTAGATCGGACAGGCTCGATCAATTGACAGGCAAATTGCCAACCAAATAGTAGAGTAAAAAGAAGTCAAGCGAATGAGTAATTTCTAATACGTTTATTTACTTTTTGCGTTTACGTTTACGTTTACGTTTAAGTTAACGATTACGTTTCAGTTTACGTTTACGTTTACGTTTACATTCACGTTGTTGTTGTTTTTATAGCATCTGAAGTTTGTCTCGTGTTACATTGCATTTCTAGGCCTAGTATTGTATTAAGTATTTAGATTTAAAGTATTCAGACAGTCAAACCTCTTAAGTGAGACAAGCGTCGTCTCAGCGACGTAAGCTCAATTAAGAGGTTTGAATGATTTTTTGCACTACGACTAAGGAGCTTTCAAGTCTTAAGCTGATAGTATGCCGACATATTCAGAGTAGTCTTAGCAGTAAGTCTTATAGAGTAAGCATATATATGAGCATAAATATTAAGCTACAGTTCCAGGGCCCTTTCCATGTGGTGTGTGAGCGTGTGTGTGGTGTGGTGTATGGTGTGCCTGGCTCAGTCAGTGCCACGCTTTTCCCATTGGCCATGTGGTGCAGAGAAGTCCAGCTCTACGTTGCGCGCAATGACTTTGAAGTGCCACAGCTGCAGCCACATTGGAGGACCCCGTTTCGTACAGCTACTAACTAGATTATGAGCGTTGCTAAGCTTTCTGTTTTCTGTTTTTTTTTTTTTCCATTTTTTTTCTGTATTTTTTTATGATTCTTTTCTTGCAGCTAAGAGAGCGAGAGAGAGAGAGAGTACTTCATGCTAGTTTGCTCCATTCTACATCTTCCATCCTCCGACCAAGCAACCGCTCGCGCCAGTTTATCGCTTGTGTAACGCGCGCTTTTGCATGTTGTCCCAAACGGCAATAACCGTCAGCTGCAGCAGCAAAAAGAGTGCCCCGGCAATTATGAAGCCTGCAAATAGAGTTGTAAAGCGCAAGAGATATATTTATGGGTTTATTTAATTAGCTGGTCACTCAGCCAGCAAGTGCGCTGGTTTTTTTTTTATTTTTTCGTTTCTTGCTTTTTGTTTTCTGCTTTCTGCTGTGTGCCCAGTTAGATGTTGCACCGGCACGCGATTACCACAAATAAATTTGGCGCGCTTGAGTTGCAGATTAGACGAGTAGCGCCAGGCAGAGCCATGTTAACTTACCATAGCCATTTATGCAAGTGTCCGTTTTGTTGGCCAATTCCAATTGCAGCTTGCCCAGGCCGTCGCTCGGCTCGCCGTTGCTCGCATCGGCACCATTGAAGGCAAACTTATCGGTGATTTGGATGGACTGCACAAGCAAAATGTTCTCATCGGTTGCCCGCTGATGACTCACATCACGTTTCTGGCGTTCCGACTTAATCGCCAGCTCAACTGTGGAAAGGTAGCAACCAGAAGGTAACAAGTGATGAGGAAACATACATGTATGTTTGTATGTACTGAATAATCTGTGGGAGCCATAATCAGCCAGTGGCCAGAGATGAATGAAGCGGCGACTTGGACTAAAGTTCATGAACCTTAAGTTGAAGTTTGATCGTACTAAACCCGGAACCGCTTTGCGCTTATCAGTTACATATTGTTGAAACAAATTGTTTGAATAAAGGGAATTTCATTTTCTTTGGGCCAAGTCACTTCACTATCACTGCCGAAATCACAGCGATAAATCACGGGACAGTGATTTCGCACAGCACTACCGTTATGACTGCAACTTACCGCCATCGGTGCCGTTGAGGACGGAGCGCTTGCGACGTCCATAGGACAGCAGAGACTTCAGCTCGCCGTTCTCATCGTTGTCGCAGATAACCGGTTCGCAGCGCGGTATGCAGGGCGTGACCAGGGCGCGGAACTGCACCAGCTCCGAGGAGGGGAACTTGAAGGCGTCGAACTGTGAGAGCAGCACCTTGCGATTGCTGGCCATCTTTTGCATGGCGCTCATAATGTATTGATCCGTGGGACAGCCGTTGGCATCGATCAGCGTAATCTCGGCGCTGTCTGTGCCGTCCATGGCAACCAGTTCGCGCACAAATATCTCATACGGACTGTTGGCATCGACGATCTCGAATCGCAGCGCCAAAGGATCGCCAACCTCGGCAATCCGCTTCATATCGCTGCCATCACGCGCCGTGATCTTCATTATGACATTCGGTGAGTCCACAATAATTTCCTCGCTCAGAGTTGATTCGATCTCGCCAGTGACGCCCAGATCAACATTGTTCACAACCGTCTTGTTGGTCAAATCATACTGACAGCTAACGGCCAGACCCAGATCCGAGGAGGTGACAATCATATCGTGATGCTGAATAACAATGTCGTTCATATACCGTCCATAGGCGCTCTGGCGCACATTGCACTCGAGGTCATTGTAGCGCATGCGCAGATCGAACTCCAGCGAGCTGTTGACATTTACGGCACAGGATTTGGGCGCTCCCTTGGCATAGACCTTGCCGTCGAAGAGCTTGGAGGTGCGAATCTTGGTGATCATCTCACCCGAGCGACAATCAATGGAGACATTGTAGCAGGCGGATTGTTCATAGGTGGCCGCCTCTTCGATGTTCAGATATGGCTCCGAGAGATCGCTGAGAGTGGCGCGACTGTGGTGGGATAGACGGCAGACGTGCTCGCCGGTTTCATTATAGTCGTAGGAGTGGCAGCGGAAGGGAGCGCTGAGGCAGAGGTCGCGGCAATCGTCAATGCTCTGCACATTCTGGTGCACCGAGTCGACGGTCTTTAATATGCGTCCCGAGATGCGCTTGAACTCGCACAGTTTGCTGGGCTCCTCGGCGCAGTTGTTCTCGAGATATTCGGCGCCATCGTAGGCCACAATGTTGGCCTCCTCCGACAGCGTAATGCGATCCATGTCCGACAGTTCACACAGGCCAGAGTGCGCATAAAAGTTGGCCGAGCTTCAGAGAGGCAGATGAATGAGCTGCGAAATGGCAACTGGAATGTTTGTAACGGGACTACCACTTACCGGCAGGTGAACTCCGTTTCGCCCAGGCACAGCTCGATGCAGTCGCGTCGCGTGGCCACGCTCTGGCTAGACTTGGCATGCTCCGGCAGACGGTAGCCCTGCACACGATCGATGCACCAGGCCTTTGAGCAGGGTCGCACACCAAAGCAGGATTTCTGTGCGTAGACCGTGAAAACGGGATATTGCGATCGGGAAAGTGAACCTGTCGTAAGTAGAAGGCGGAGCTAGTAAACCGCAGGCCCACACACAGACACACACACACTGATACACAGGCACAGACATAGACACACCGCCAAATTACAAGCGTGCCCCACTCACCTGGCAATTGATCGGCGGTGCTGCGGAACATGACGCATAGCCCCGTCTCGTAGTTAACAGCGCTGCAAGATTCATTAGCCTGGCAGGCCTCCAAGCAGTCGGTCAGCATCAGTGTGCCGGGCAGCGTCTCCAATTGCTTCGATGGCGCCGATAGCACGTACCTGCCGGGCATTGCGGGTTAAGACAAAATGCGGCGCATAAATATTTTTTGTTTACAACAGGTTTAAGGGGGGACTAGCATTAACGATTCTCTAGGCTGGGCAACCTCGGCAACCAACGCGAAATCTTATTAACTCTTCGTACGCCCCACGCTGTACCGCGAGTGCCAACCTTTTACGATGTGCGAACAGGCGGTTCGTTAATTAATGGCCCCTTCGCCAAAGTGCCGCAGTGCCACAGTGCCCCGAGTCCCTGCTCCACGCCTAATTGCCACAAGCCAGAGATCCATGCGTACACATATATACTTGAATAGATATAGCAGCTATCACCTACCCAGTTATAAGCTCAAAGCCAATCATATCCGGCTCGCAGTCTTCATCGATCTGGCTGCCTAGTGGCGCAGCCGTCGCGTTCAGATCATCGATTTTGCTCTCGCCATTGACAGGTGTTGCTGCAGGTTCCGCTACAGCAGCTTCCGCCGGCTGCTGTTCGCTCGCATGCGGTGTCAACGGTTTTGGTAGCTCGCTTCCGCTCGCTGGCTGTGCGCCCTCTGATGCGGCTGCTACTGAGGCTGAGGCTGAAGCTGAGGCTGCTGCAATTGTCGGCGTCGCATTGTTGCGCGGAAATGTCTTCAACGGTTTCGCCGGCCGCTTAGGCAGCTTGCGGGCCGCCGCTGCTGTGTCCACATGCAGCAGCAGCGCCAACAGTAGCACCAGCGACATTGTTGCCATCATGCTGACTCGCCCGTTTCTGTTCGTTGTCAATGACCGTGGCTGCATTTTGTTGCTGTTAGCTGTAAGATGGCAAAAATGATTTGGTAACTTGGTTTTTAATTAGCATTTCAGTTTCCTTGCATGCTTATCTCATGATTAATTGCAAGAGCAGTTACAGTTAAAGCTTAATAATGGGTTTAATGGATTTAATGGCAGGCCCCGGTCTCAGCCCCAGCCCCAGCCCAAGCCACAGACTTAGCCCGGTCCCAGCTTCTGCCCAGTCTAGCAACGCCCACTAGCACGAAGTGCTTGTGATTAATTGTGCAAGAATTACGAAACTACAGCTCTGATGCAAAATCAATTTCGTTGATGATGAGTTCATGGCTGCTGCAACTGCAGCACGCACAGCCAAGGGAATTAAAATAACACCACTTGGCAAAAAAGAAAAGGAAAAACGCACGCACAACTTCAGCCCGTCCAGGCTGGGAAAACTGACTGGAAAAAAGAAGCTGATTGGCATTGCGATTGCCTCTATGATCATGTGATCGATACTTTGGGTACTTGAATTGTTGTTAGTGGCTTTGCGGTTCTTAACGGTGCAGCTTTGAAAGCAGCATGGAAAATGCATTACGTGTAATATGCGTTAAATCACAGAGCAGCTGCCAGTGAGTTTTCCACATGCGCTGACGACCAGATTGATTTCCGCGCTAATCGAATTGAAATGGACAACATTCTAGCTCGGCCCGAGCAGCTGTGCGCCATTTTGGTGGCCAATGCTGTTCAATCCACAAACCGAGTCAGTTCTCGACTGCGTGAGCTCATAATCCACGATTATGCAATTGTTTGCCCGCAAATCAATTTGCATGCATTGCAATGGTCAATGACACGGTCACACTTGCTGCCACAGCCGGTTAGCCAGGGCAGTTTATGTTTCATGTAGACACGTCGCTAATAGCGGTAAATATGTGGGGCGTCAAAAGTCGCAGTTACAGATGCAGATGGAGCTCTAGTTATCTATGTTGCCTGGGTCAGGTCTCGGCGACTCCTTTGGAGTCGTTTACATGCAGGGGGAACAACCCGCTGGTTGCAGGCGCAGCAAATAGAAATTCAGTGAAATGTTTGCCCACTCAAATTACAATTTAATGTTGTGGGTCAGTCGCTTTAGTGGGCCAATAAACTAAATCCGCATCGATGGACAAGACAAGCGTGGTAATCGCGGTCAGTTGCCATGCACATAAATTTCATATTGGCATTGCAGTTGCTGCTGCTACTGCTGCTGGCAATGCTCCTGCTGCTCCTGCTGYTGCTGTTGCTGCTGCTGCTGTGGTGGATTTGTTTGCCATTTGAATTCGAGTTCGATGTCGATTTATTTATGTATTCACATGCATGGACACATTTATTTGCAGCAGCACAGGGGAAAATCTATTTTGCCAGGAAATGCTGCAGCCCGTTTGCGAGTTGATGTTTTGTGCGAATTTAAGTATTTACGGTCAAATTTGACAGTTTGCTTAACTCTTGTTTTATAGACTCTTTATAGCCAGTCAATCCATTTGAGAGAGTTAAGAGTGGGCAGCGAAACGGAAAAGAGTTTTTGCTTTTCGTGTTCTAATTGGGCCGTATAAAAATCTTTATGAGTGGTTCGTGAGCGCTGCTAATGGCCATTGGGGGAAAAGTTTTGATTATCGACCGTTATGATCATAAGCAAGCTAATACGCTTCAATCCGAATAGCATTTAGTTGCTGAAATTTGGGGTAATCCGGCGAGCCAGTGCCACCAGCAAGGCTGTCAGGTGTCAGCTGTCAATGCATCTGCGCGCTGCTCTGACACCAATTCGAAACTGTCTCTCCGGCGTTGCGGCAGTAGCTCATGTTATTTCTTAATTAAAATTGCAAGTAATCAAAAAAAAAAAAAAAAAAAAAAAAAAAAAACAAAAAAAAAAAAAAAAAAAAAAAAGAAGTGTATATATATAATATTTCACTTCCATTGAGTGTTGCTGACTGAAACTGTGCCAGGCTGCGCCCCGGAACCAGGAGAATGCCGATGAGAATGACATAACTGGCGCGGCGGAGCGCGAACGCCAATGCGAATGCGATGCGATGCGAGCGCTTATCTCAATTGAGGCGCGAGTCATTGTAACTGTAAGCAGTGTGGTAGCCGCAGATGAAGCCAGTCGGGCAGGTAGGTGCAAGCGTAGCTGCGGTTTGAGCTGTGGCGGTGACTGTGTTGGCTGCCTCTGCTCTGGCTCTGGCTATCTTCATTCCACTGGCTGGAGCAATTTCAAGTGCACCCGCAGGCCATTGGCACAGAAGCTGACCCACATCGTCCATGCCAAAGTTATTTTTATTGAAATTTTAGCAATTTGCGCCAATTTCTATAATATCATACATATACACTGTGTATATGTGTCAGTGTGTGTGTGTTGGTTATTGGGTGTGCAGTGGTTATGCTATGCGACAAATGCTCGATTAATTGCCTGTGGATTAGCAGTGAAATTTTGGGCATTCTGTTGCTGCTGCACAAACAAAAGACTTAGGCGACAAACGTGTTTCAATATCACGATCAAAAGACTTAAACAACAAACTAGCTTTGCATTTGACAAGTAATGCCACACCGAAAACCTAACGGCATAATAACCGCACCATTTGAAAGCTTTTCGAATATCTAATCTACTCGGCCAATGTGTAAAATGAAAACATGAATTCTTTTCGAATCACGCTTCGCTTGTAAAGCTACCGCAGTGAAGGCTTAACTGTGAACCAATTCGGATAGTGAAAAATCAACATAAATGTAGTGCACAAAAGAGCTCGAACTGCTTTTAGCATAACAATGAACTTGCTGTTACCCCAGGAATCTCCGACTGTCTATTGTGCGGTAATTGTCATAATACGGCAGCTTAGGTGACCAAATAACGTCGACTTATATGCATGCTCCTCCTCTATTACAGTTTCGGCTTCATTGTCGGCGGCACGTAGTAAACAAATTTGTCAGTGAGTCAATATAAAAGACTAGAAGTGAGAAATGTTTAGTATATGCAAATATGCTCCATTCACCGGGATATTTTTATCTCAGCATTGTTCAAATAGTTATGAAAAACAGGTGGAACCGCCGAAGAGTTCGGCGAAGAGTTCGGGAAATATGATATATTGGCATTGTTTGTGTGTGTTTAATACAAGCGGTCAAAATGCAGCGAAAGTTTTGTTCAAGTGGCATTTGAGAAGATTTCAGCATTTAGACAGATTTCAGCTCTTGTTTGGCTGGCTGCTAACTCTGATTATCTCTCTGCTTCTCTCTGCACATAGCCAAGCGGCTAATTGTCTTCAATTATATCATAACTGTTGGCTGACCCAACCCAAGTGACCCAAATCGCCAGGCCGAAACTGAATGGCCAGCCATCCCAGGCGATTACCACTCGGCCATGCACCAGTGCCGGAATGAGCAATGAAAATTTTCGCAGATAAATAATTTTTCGTCATTCTGCGGACTGGAGTGCTGCTGGTACTGATGATGCTTCTGCTGCTGCGTGTGCGGCAGCCGGCAAAAGTTAATTGCCTCTAAATTCAGCGCATTTGGGAAATGTTTCGTCAGGCTGTCTAGATAGATGACAAAAGTTTTTCCGGGCACAGCGCACAACGTTTGGTCTGGTCACACGAATTTCTAACGGTTCCATCATCTCCTCGTTTCGACTTCAACTAGAAGATGACGTTGCTTGTTCACTGGCGCTACATGCTTAAGATTCGGTTTGCACAGATCATTCGCCAATCGCCTTGACATTCACCCAAGGCTTTCTCTAATGGTCCATTGACCATTTTCGTTTTAATTGATGGACATGTGGACATCCTGTTGAGTCTCGACTAAACCATTGACACCATGTCAACCATGGATGATGGCATGAATTTGATACCATTTGCAGAGCACGGTTAGCAATTTTTATTTAATTGCTTTATTTTTGATTATTTTTTTTTATTTTTATTTATTTACTTATTTATTTTTTCTTTTTTGCATTATTATGAAAAAAAAGTTGTTACCTTTGTATTTTTGCAAATATTATCGGTTTAATCCTGATACTGCTTTAGTTGAACGCGAACAAATAAATTGTTTTGATTTTTGTTGAATTTTCGTTTATAAAATTAGCTTATGAACACAACGCACGCAGGACACACACAAATTGTTTTGACAATTTGGATTTTTGTTTTTTTCCGTAAAAGGTTTATGTTAAAAACACCGATGGACCGCTATGCTCCGCTCACCGTCTGCACTCAAGAAAGTGGAGCGCCTAACTGCCGCACATACACCTAGGCAATAGGTTCTTATGTGAGCTTCTCAACACAGAATTACTGATGCTGCGCTGGGAAAATTGAATTGCTCTCAGAGTTCGTTAGCTTCTATGACTCGACGACCGCGACTGCGACTGCCAGTTAGAGCACCTTGACACTGAATGCTCGCTGCGAAGGCCGCGGAAAACTCTACAAGTTGGTAGCCAACAACATCGACCATCAACAGCAGCAGCAGCAGCAGCAGCAGCAGCAGCAACGGCAGCAGCAACAGCAGCAGCAACAACAGCAGAAGCGGCAACGGTTACAACTAACTAACGTTGGCTCTCTCTTCGGTCACGCAAACCGGTAAAACATCGGCCACAAAGCTAATGGGACGCGCTCTTCGGTGGCTCTCTTCGCGAACTGCTCTTTGTTGGCACTTTCTTCAGCCGAAGCTTTTCTCTGTTGCCATTGTAACGGGCAACCTGTCGGAAGCAATAAAATGCAATTATACCAGTCGAGCTAAATGATTTTCTAATGCGATTCCATAGCTGCGCCGGCTACACGCAGCCTCATCTTCAGCTCGTCTCAAAAATGGCACACAACAGTGCGATCTTATTGCCAATTGGGACTATAGCAGGCAGGTGCATTGATTGCCAAAGAGAGTAAAAGCCTAAGAACGAAAGAGTCCGCAAAGACTCATTCATATATGCCTCTCTCTGTCTTTCTCACTCTCTTTCATCCACCTAAAAAAGAACATTGTAGCTTTCTAATGACCAAAGCTGTAACCACAATAACAACATCAAAACCAACAACTACGGCAGCAA